AGTCTTACAGGTGATTAATTGTTCTATTAAACGTGTTCACCACTATCACGCCCGGTTGAACCTGGCAGAACCTTCCACATTCAGTGGAACGTGGGTAAGTCATTCATTGATCAAGCTGAGTTTGGACATTTTTATTTTGGCAAATCTTTTGCCCCATTTACACTACTTATCTGAAACTGATCCGTGTCGAGTTCGGACAGAGCTTGGATCAGTTAACCGTGCTGAGCTTGGTTCTTACGACCATTTACACATCACTCTAGTATGGTTCCTTGCCTCCTATTGGCGATCCGCGTCACTAAGGCTCCCAAGGCGCGAATTACGCAGACAAAAATGGCGGTGTCCATAACATTCAGGAACTTAGGTGCCTGGATAGCTTCCTCCTCCCAAATTTCAATGAGAGCCTCAGCATCATCCCAGGTTGCACCGCGCTATTTTGATGCCTATTAATGATAATAGGCTGAGAAGAAGTTTGTTCTGTAAACAGGTGCAGAGATCTGTGAATCGTAAAGCCGGACACGCCGGAAAACCCACAAAAATGAGTCAGCTGACTGTAAATAGGAGATGACGCAGTCTGCTCATGTGCACTTTTTTAATCAGAGAACCAAGCCACAGATGAATTGTGCCGAGCTCTACTGTTGAACTAGTACTAGATATAGTGCGGTTCGGTTGTGTCTGGCACGGTCCAGTTCAGTTGCGTTCCATTTATACCCAACAGTTATCTCGGTTACCATGCTATGACCGGTTTTGGCACCGTTTCAAAAGGGTAGTGTAAATAGGGCTTCCGAGTTGGGTCAAAGATCTGCATTCTCCCTTCTACTCACAGAGGTTTACAGCTTGTAATACTGGCCCTAACAGTAGTTGAAATTATCCTTAAAATGAAACATAATGGCAAAAAAGTTTGAAGCTGTTATTAGCCTTTAAAAGGAGAAAAAAAAAAAGAGTGGGGGAGTGGCAGCCTGCTCCCCAGGCGCCTCAAAATGGCAGCCTACTGCTCCCCAAGGTGATGGGTTAAATGCAGAGAGTTCATTTTGTTGCTCTGTACTTGTGACAGTGTGAGGACAATAAAAGCTGGAAAGAAAAAAAGAAAAGCAAAAAAATAACGCCTCAAAAACTTGGTACTTGCAGCTCAACATTTAACCAATAAAGATCTTCATTAACTATCCAAATAAACCAAACATTTACCTGAGATTCCAGTAGATGACAGCCTGTCTTATCATGGACCAGCTGACCATACAAGTGCACGGGGAGATAAACATTTGGTCTTTGTAACCTGCAGACACAAACCATTCCAATTAATCTGACCTCTGATGCCAGTCGAGGGTTCATCGTTTCGCCATCTCACCTTTGGTTGCTGCGCCTCACGTAGTTATCTCCATCTACGGGTTTGCGGTAAGTTGTAAGTGCTTCGTTCAGCTGCTCCTCTATCAGATCCACATATTTAAGGTTGTACTCCTGCAAACAAGATCACATCTTGGAGTCAAACACCACCTTTGTATGGCATTCTTTTGCAAAATGCAGATTTCCTAATACCTTCTGCCATTTATCCAGCTGCTTGCTGACATAACCCCTCTCATTGAGGTAGGAAAAACCTTTAGGAATGGACAGGAACCTAAAATATAAAAGAACACAACGAACACTTGTTTAACATTATATAGGCATCTTCAAGAACAATCAGATTAGATACTATATGGCGCTGCTGATAAAAAGGCTGAGGTTATAAACACCCACCTGAGGAGCAGCAGGAGGCCTTTGTCTCCCAGATGGGACACAGCTGGTTTCAGCTGGATTAGAGCGTGGAGGTTGGCCTGAAAAGCAGAAAAGAGGTCAAGTTGAACTCAACTGCCTTTAGCCTCTTCTTTACATCTTTTATTAACGGATTTTATAGCAACAAGCATTATTTTACAAAGAGCTGCTCCTGTACTTCTAAAATTAATGATCCTTTAAAGAGTGATTTTATTCCTCCAGCGGGGAATATACAGAAGAAATAAGTGCAAAATATGGAAATACCTTTGAGATTTTAAATAATAAATAAAATCAGGATATCAAAACGACAAAGAATTGTTAATTTATTTCTTTTAACGCAGTATTATAATAGAGGAGGTAAATTTATATCAGGGTAGTCCCTTTTAATGGTTGGTAATGAACGAATGAATGGAATAATGAGCTTGTTTATTTTGGTGATTTCCAGATATACAAGTACTAATCAGTCCCTAGTGAAGATTAAAAACAAAAGAAATAATAAACTGTTGCTGAGAGAATATCTGCCTCAGACAAATAACTGATTTTATCGACAACAAATTAAAAGATTGAAAGACCAAACAACAATCACTTGCTTTGTTCTGTTAAAATCTCCTTTATTTGATAGATGTCTTTTATTTTGAGTATTTATCTCCATTTTCATGTCTCTGCTCTGAAATAATTATTTTTTTGCAATTGTAAAGTGCATTATAAGTTAAATATTATTATTCATTAATAAAGCTTAGGCTAGAAAGTATCAACAGTTTCGCTTTTTACATAAAACAAAAAGCAAAATCTGTTCACAAGTTTATAGGTTAATATAAAAAAATGCATAATTTGAATCCCTTTTTTAATTAGAAAGAAACTAAATATATCAAGAAAGGCCAATATTTACAGAATAATCAACTATATGTTAAATTTAAAGATTGTAAAAATGTCTGCACTGGAAAAAAAATCTAAATATAGATAAGTCATTTTTTTCTTAAAATAAGTGCATTTGTTCTTGAATTGAGGAGGTGACAGAGACATTTTGCCAATAGAAAAAGACAATTTACATTTAAAATAACAAAAAAACAATTGCATTGTCTTATTTCGAGTGCATTGTATCTAAATATCTTATTTTAACAGTAAAAATATTCAGTCCATTGGCAAATCATCTCATTTACCTACTCAAATTAAGGGTAAATGCACTTAATTTGAGAAATGTTCTACTTATTTCTAGATGGTTTTTCGAGTGTGACAGATATAAAGAGAACCTTACAGTTCCTGGACTCATAATCTGACGTTTTATACCCAGACATAATCACTTGTTTAAATTGAGTCAATCCAACAAAACCAGATCTTGATAAGTTCATTTCAATTTAACCCAGAAAAAAAAAATACTATTTTAAAGATTCTAAAAATTGTTTTTTCTCTAATCTCATTCCCTTCAGGTAGAGGCTGAAATATCCCAAAGAGAAAAAAGGAGCTCCCTAAAGAGGCTGATAATGAGTTTTTGCTGATTCCTTCAATCATCCTTCTACCAAGACTAAATATAGATGACTTAACGTATGATCCATGTAAACACTTCTTAAACCCACCTTTTTTTAAGCTACTTATCATATAAAAAGCACAAATGTAACCTTATGAAAAGAAAATCTTGAATGCATTTATATTTCTTAAGATACGCAGTAAAATACAAACATAAATTTGCTGTTTACTACTTATTTGTTACAATCAGGCAGATCCAAAGAATAATAATGATAATCAAATGCAGTTGCAGGCTGCATCAGTTAATCTAAACGGTTGTCTTAGTTGAACATAATTAGCACATCTATTTCCCCTGGGATAACGATCAGAATACACAAATTGAGAAATTGCTGTGACTTTTAAAGTTTTACTCAGTAAAAATATTTTTTAACTAACGTGTAAAAAAAACTAAATCTTTATGCAATATGACGGTTTTTATGTGAGATTTATTTATAGATTGTATTCAAGCATAAATTCAAATTTTCAAGAGGAAGCGGTTTTTAATAGACAACAAAACCAATGTATTTTTATTTCTGTATTTTTTGGTGCTTCTTAATAAAGGGTTAGTTTGCTCATATGGTTGCGCAAACAGTCCTTTTTAAATATACCCACAGGAAAGCAGTGGTTTTAATGAAGCCTTTGCTTCCTTCCTACACCAGAGAGATGATGGGTTATGGGCCAACAAACAGAATTAGAGTAAACTCTGTGCCTATTTTTGGCCTGAATACAGACAAGGTTGTGTTTTTTACTATGCTTGTTAGGTTTGATATATGTGAATCCCATAATCAGGATCCTATTAGAAGCATACTGACAATGAACTAATGGTTAAAGTGTGAACTTCGCCTTATTTAAGGAAGCACTCAAGGAAGACCACGTGTTTGTTTTTGCTGATAAAGTCTGTGAATTGTTAGAATTTTTAGATAATTTTTCCAAACTGTGAAATAGTTATTCCTTTGGCGACTAATGTTGTCATCTATGCTTAACACATATTTTAGATGCAAAAGTTAAATTAGAGTTTAAATTAGAATTGTTTTATAAAACTGGATCTTATTTGAGGGAATAATTGTTTAAACTGTAAAATGGTATTCAAGAAAAAAGTAAAAAAGGGTATAAAAGAGAATATATTAAAATAATCAGGATTTTTTTTTAGCATCTTTTTTAGAGGAGCTCAGCGTAAAAACTTTGAAAACCTTCTAGTGTAATAAGAAAAACCTTACCTTGTCCTCACAGGCCTCATCCAGAATGTCCAGGGCCTCCATGGAAACAACCTTGTTGTGGTCATGAAGCTGGGTGACCAGCAGCTCCATGCCCCAGCTGCTGAAGAACTCCACGCCCGCACGCAGCAGCACACGGAGGTGTTTGGTGGCATACAGCCTGCATGTCTGTTTGGAAAGACAAAGGGTGTTATTTCTCAGAAAATTAATCCTTAAAAGCACCGAGCCCTTTTTAATATCATATACATAAATCTATGACATAGTTTCTATCAAAAATGTATTGTTCTTTATATTGTACAGGTGAAACCCTCTCCATTTATTCTGTGTCTCATGTTTTGTGTTTCTTACATCGGTGGAAGCTGTGAGGACCTTTGAGAGGATGACCCTGGCCAGGCCGTCTCTGCTGTAATCTAGAGTCGTTACAGCAAGTTTCAGCACAGCATCCTGGTTCTTTACGGAGCACAGATTCAGCAGGCTGTAAACACCAAAACAAGAGATGATGCCTCACGGCTGTAAGCAACACGTTCCACCGAATGGAAAAAACATTCTGAGGCTCAGGGGAGAAAAAAAGGCTGACAAAGCTCTGCTCACTTACCACTGGAACAGGCCACATTTCTCTAACATTTTAACTCCCTGTGGGTGTGCGGAAAGTGTCCCCAGGAAGAGGAAATAGTGCTGACTGAGTGTGGTGAGAAGGCCGTTGCTCTGCAGACTACGCTCTGGCTTCAGTCCTGAACACGAGCAGAGCCATGAGACCATGTCTCTCACAAGATCCTCCAGATAGCCCTGACCGTCCTGCTCGCACCAGAGGGAGACAGATTCTGTAAGATGGTTTGGAAGCCAGGATCAAATAAAAGATAAACTGCTCTTTTAATTTTACCTCATCTGAGTCCATGAGGAACTCCACAAACTGACATCCAACCACTGTGAGTTGTCTGGCCTTTACGTGATCCAAAGGCAGCCCAGCATATAATTTACTAGTGGGCTTATAAAAGAAGAGCAGCCTCCGAACAAACCTGCACACAAGCAAACATCATTTAAACTATGCAAATGTAAGAGAAAATTTTTAAACAATTTCAGTATATAACAAAAGTTAATCTTACCGGTGCATCTGTTCATCCTTGTTGTTCCTGAGGTTCACATTTGGCCACTGGAAAAAAAAAAAAAAAAAACACTCAGAAAAGGAGGAAAACAGCAAACATGTAAAAATGTGCAGCTGCATGGGAGCAGCCCAGACCTTCAGGATGGTGGCAATGAGCAGCCAGTTCCACTCCAGGTTCTGCTTGTGGTTAAGGATTTGGCTGTCTCTTAGGTTCATCAGCAGTGCCTCTTCAGTGTCCTAAAGGCAAAAGAGGAAAATTGAAAACACCACTAGAGTCACATTAGACAGAAACAATAAATATAGCTCTTAAAAGAGTTTTAATAAAAGCTGCAAACATAGCTGGATCAAACATGGCCACCACCATGAAATCTATCATCAGTTCAAATTTTAGATCTTTACCTTAATGATGTAGATGTCCCTTTGGACACGCGAGTAGGAATCTCTCCGGTTTTGAGACGAGACGGACTTGCGAATGATGTGGTCCAAGTAAAGACTGTGCGGCTTCAGGCCTTTCTTCTTCTTCTCGTGGAAACGCTTCAGATTGTTCACGGCTGCACTTGCACGACTGCAGGACACAGCAAAAGAAAAAAAAATAGATATTTTTTTTTAAGTGAAACAACCAGTACTCAGTGATACCTTTAAAAAGGAGGCAGATTCATAACAAATGTTGTGGGTGTCAACATTTTTAACTGCATCTTTATCAAAATAATAGAAAATCTTTAATAACTTCATTGTGATTGCTTCATTTTTATTGATTAATTTCTGTAAAACTAATTTAGATAGGAAAAGCGCTACTGGGAAGTTTGGAAAGGTATATCTTTTTGAGTTTTCCCCCTCTTCTTATCCTAAAGAGTATAAAATTTTATATATAAACTCATTCATCCATCCATCCATGCACCCTGTGTGATTTACTGTCCTTTTTAAACATTAATAAAAAGGAACACCTTTAATAAAAAACTAACTTCATGTATCAGATATGAAGTAGGGCTCTTAAATATACATGAAAGGTGTATAGCAGGGGTGCCCATAGACTGGTTTAGTGAATAATTGGCGGCCCTCGGAGGAATTTTAGATTGCCCTCGATCATATTTCAAGAATAAATTAACTTAAGTTTGTAATTGATGAATTGATACAATTTGAAATAAACACCACTGTTTTATTTGACTACGGCAAAAATAAAACCTTTCTGAAATTGTAATGGTGGTTATGGTCCAACACATTATCTTTAATCAGCATGTTATTTTTACTAAATTGGAAATAGGAAAAAAAAAAATAGTGAATTTTATGAAAGAATATTTAACAAGCCCTTTTATTTATTTTGCAAGCAAAGATTTGGTCAAGGCGAGAACAACATCCGGGGACTTTGTACGTTCTTAGTCTTGTGTTCTTGTGAATTGGAACAGTACTAGGGGCTGAGGCTGATGACGTTTCATGAGCATAAGAAAAAGAAACATATTGAGAAACAGCCTCAGCCTATCGCAGATCTCATGAGGATTTCATACAGCTCTGTCAACCTCTGAACCATGTAACATGAAAACGTTTTTTAGAAATATATCACCTTTGTTAGGTTTCACTTAGCCTGCAGGTATCAAATCGCAACAAGATGTAAATTTTAATGTTTAGAGTCTAAATAGTCCCGGGCCCATTTCCGCATGTTTGTAGTAATAATTGTCCCCTGGAGAGGAGAAACAGATTGTACTCACAGTCGTTTCTCCTGGGAGATGTCAAATGAGGCGGCCATGTTGATAAGGGTGGGAAGGCAATGCAGGTGGTGGCTATGGGAATGAGGAAGAATTGTGTTGGCCTAAAGCAAGAGAAAAGAGGCAAAATAAATACAAATTACTGAAAAAATTAGTGATTCTTTCAGCTAGGAATGTGCTGAACATGAGCTATGTTAGTTACCATATGCAAAAGCTCTCCTAGGAGTATGGTAGCTCTGATAGCAAGCTGGTCATCGCTGCTGGTCACAACTTCCACAAGACCCTACAGCATCGACAAATAAAGGAGAAATGAAGGCAGGGTTAAAAGGAAACTATTAAAATTCAGACAGAGTGGGAAAAAAATCCTCTTACCTCTAACAGTCCACTGGTGATGAAGGCAGAGAGCACAAATGCCAGGTAGTTGTCCATCAGGTCGGCCCTAAAGAAAGAAACAAGGAAAAATGTAAATGCTTCTTCAAATCACTAATCTGACTTTAACCTAGTTCTATTTCTGTTCTCTTGCCTGGAGCGGGCCCGATGGGGTAGGATAACTTTAGCCTCAGACGCCACAAACCCATCAGAGAGTCTCCAGGTGTCCTGGAACCTGGCGGGATCTAAAGCACACAGCAGCAAAAATGAGTCCAGGCTGGCTTTGGAGAAATATTTAAAGCATTTTAAGCAGAATATGTGAGGGTTAGGGTTTGCCTCATGATTAGAGGGGAAAAAAACAACAAAAAAATGCTAATTCACACCTTAAACTTTGAGGATGAATAAAGATTAATCCTCACCAACACTTTGGAGAGCCTCTGTGAAGTCTTCAGTAACAATGGGCACAGGGAGCCTGAATATCTCATATAACACCTCCAACAGGCCTTTCTGCAGAGCGAAGCACATCATTTGATTACAGATTTACGTATCGTCTCGAACTAAGACCAGGAGTATGAAGGTTATTTTGTTTCAAAACTTTTTGTGCACTGTAAGTGTGATTTGCAAATATGTATGGAGAGTTGTGTATTTGTATCTCGATTTGTGTGTGCGCAGTGGGATTTGAAAATGGGTAAATGAAACTATAAATGTGTGCAGAGATTTGTGTCTGTAAAACAATCTGCAAATGTGTAAAAATATTTGAGTGTATGCAAATGTGTAAAAAAATCCACAAATCTGTATTCAGATTTGCAAATGTGTAGATCAATCTGTAAGCACACAGAGACACTTATGTCTGAAGTATTTTTTCGGTTCAAGACCCAGAAATACAAATCATTGGTTACAAGTCGAGCGGTTTCTCGGTTGGCTCTCTTTACACATGTGATGAAAATGTTCCCGCAGGGGATTAATAAAGTAATTTGATCATGATTCCTGAAACAACTTAAAAGCCTACAGGCTTCTGTGAACAAAACAAGCATATTTATAATGAACTGATCAGTCTGTCTGTAACAGGACAACTATGATTAGTGTTGCACCGATTAGGCTTGTCCCGATCCGATCCACGTATCGGATCGGGACGCCGATATTGGCAAAAAAATGCGTATCG